CCAGAGAAGCGCGTGCGCCGGACTTGCCGGGCCGCGCTCGCTCGAGCCCGCCGTGTGCCTCCCGTCCTCGCTGCGGACCGGGCCGCGTGCCCCTGGGGACCCCTCTTGCCCTCCACCCCACCTGGGAGCCTCGCCGGCGCCCATCGCTCCCTCCCCGCCGCGCGCTGCTCGGCAGCCCTCTCCCCACCCTTCCCGGGCTTCCCTCTCGTCTCCTCCAAACCCCCTTTCTTCGAGCCCAACTTCGCCCGTTTCTCTCCGCACGTGCCACCCTGCTCGACCTCCCTGTAGTTTCTGCCGGGTGCTCGTGGCCCGGACGGTTTTACACCAACGCACCTCGCATTTCCAGCGCTCCCGAACTCCTCTTTGGTCACTCCAGCCAAGTTGTGGATGCCAGAAAGAAACCTAGTTCTTTGTAACACGCTTACCGCCAGAGTGGTGACTTTAGCTGCGTCTTGAACATTGTCATTTCAGAGACTATGTTTGGCTCATGCGTTTCGGTTTGCAACTGGCACACTTTCTGGCTTCTGCTTTACTCATCACCCGAATGGCAGTACCCTATTTTTCAGAACCAACTCATTTTAAATACTAGAGTCAGTAGGACCGTCAGAACCCAGTAGGGGAAAATTTCTTAGCTCCTTTCACGGCTTGCTTTTTTCCTGTTTTTGAATTCTCTTCAACAATAGTCAGTTTACAGAAGGCGGCACCCTTATGGCCCAGCCTACCTTATGTTCCAGGATCCTGCGGAAACCTAGGGTTATCTTGCCATATATTACTGTAAATAAATGAAATGGAAAATGCTGAATCATGAAACTGATGTAATAGGAAATTCACAGAATACTAAAAAAAATTGAGCAGTGTCATTGTCCAGAATTCCCATTTATGTGACAATGTCATAATTTGGAGTCTTTTTTTCTTAGAGGCTAAAAACTACCTAAGAGATACTGGCAGACGTTAGATTTTGATTTTACCAAAATTTGACACCCAGCCCGAGTATTTTTTAAAACACTCTTTACTTTCTGGATGTTGCATTTCTTAAAGAAGAGAGTGTAAAAATGGAAACCCTGATCTTGCCTTTGTATCTACCTGTTGCGCAATCTGTTCCTTCACTCATATTTCAGAAATCAGGCAATACCAAATTTTGTGTTTGGGTTTACTTCATATTTTCATAAGCAGTTGTCAGTTAAAATGAATGATTTTTTTCACCCAGGGGATATTATTATTTATATTTATGCCACAGGATTACAGCACACAGGCTCGTAAATAAAACTGCCATAACAAATGACAGTGCTTCAGTTTAAACAGATGATCTCTGCACTGGAGGCGCTGCTGGTTACCCCCAGCAGCAGACACTGTTGTCCAGCAGAATGGGCAACGTTGTCTACAGGTGGGATGGGAAGTTCCACACAGGACTCTCAAGGCCCGGCAAGGGGGCTACTTCTGGATGGGCCAGGAAATCAGAGTGACAAGACCAAGACCTAAATAGCGTCATGCTCTGGGGGAACAGAGAAAGGAGCAAATGCAGGGATTCTGATGGGCCAAGGGGGATTCATGAGAACAGATCATAGAGGGGGAAGTGACGTGGTGCTGGACTGGTGCGAAGGGGGAGGACCAGGCAAAGCTCCGGAAAGAGAGGTTGTAGACAACACCGTAACAAGGGAGATAAGCAGAGTATGTGAGCGCTTGGCAACTCGGGAAGGAGTGGATCTTGATGTTGGAATGTCATCTAGGGGACCTGTCAGCGCCTCCTGTCCCCTTGTGCCTCCTTCTGGTGGGCACTGATGTGCTCCTGGGGAGGAAAGACTTTGACAAGCCAGAGAGCCCATCTGCATCTGCATCTGCATCTGCATCAGAAAGTTGTGCACAGAGGGAACGGGCAGGCTGACTTTGAAGGTGGTCTTCGCGTTTTGATCTGAGTGTCTGGCCAGGTGCTGGGAATAGTGCTCTCCAGGTGTGTTCTACTGGAGATCCGCTGGAGGTTTTGAAAAGAGAGACTTCTTGATCTTGGATAAGTTCGGGGTGTGAATCAGGGGAAAATGTCAGCCTCTGCGGGAAACATCTGAAAAGTGCAAAGAGTGAGAAACAGTGCAGACACGTTACGGTGAGCATTCTGCTCAGGCAATGATGCTTCCTGGAGGAAGTGACGGGCGGGCCATAGATGTTGCAGAAAAGCTGAGCAGGATCTCAGCTACCCGCAGACACTTGAGAAGAAGGTGCTTCCATCATTTGGAAGCTACAGAGTAATCATGATAATAGCTTGATTGTGCTAAGTCACTTATAGGCATTATCCACCATTAATCATAGAAACAACCTTGTGAGGTAGGAGCTATTATGATCTTCATTGGGCTGGGACAACTGAAGCTCAGAGAGGTTAAGTAAGTTGTCCTAGGCCACACAGATAGCCTGAGATTAAACCAAGTCCATCTAACCTCAGGGCTCTAGTTTGAACCTATGCCAGTTTATTGCCTTCTGGATTCTGCTGCTTGTAACCTATTCCTCCCATGCATAAATGTACAGTCCATTAGCAGAGCTCTAGCAATTAGAAGCTACTGTGCAATTGGCCAGGATGTGAGGTCATGTCTAAAGTAACCTAAAATATACAAAGCAGGAAGCACAGGCCGCAGAATAGAAGCCGGATGTTAAAAAGAGAGAAGAAAAGGCAAAAGCAGACAATATTTGCCAAGGGTAATAGAGAGGTAAAAGATTGTGTTTTTATAGAGTCCAGAGGCAGCCTGGAGGGTTGGCATTTGAGTGTGTGTGAGCATGTGTCCCAAGTGTATAATGAGTGTGCAATGGAATGCATTCGGAAGCCAAATTGTGACGTTTGGGGACCGACGATTCCTGTTCTCTGTTAGCCTGCCCAGAAGGCTGGAGGTGGAAAGTGGCTTTAGGTCACTGCCCTCGGCGGGCACGTTCCCCCCCCCCCCCCGAGTCACGATGCTGAGGACAGGAGCCCCTTCGCCACCGGCTGGGACAGAATAACCTTCAGTATCAGCCCACGAAGAGGACTATCACTGTAGCTAGGATACTGCCAAAGCATGAATAATTGTGATGAGGCCTGAAAGATAAGTCACGGAACGATGCCAAGCAGATTTCTGCAAACATGATCCCAGGTTCCAGTGACTGCCAGAAAATTCGGAGGTCGGCAAAGGTCAAGATGAAGAGAGCCTTCTCCATGAGGACAAGGGCCTCGAAAGCAAAGGGTAATGAAATTGCTTCCACCGAGGTCACTGGAGCCCAGGAGCCCACTCCACCCAGGGCCACCTTGCCCGCAGGCCCCCTTACTGTTTCCTTGGACCATTAACACTTACCTTGCTCTGTGCTAGGCCAGAACCAGTTGCAGCTGCCCAGCCCATCTGAGACACTGGGGCTTCTACAAGGCAATCTGGGCTACTTGGAAGTCTAGTCTCCAATGTTTAATTTTTTCTTAAGAGAGAGAATAAATCTCACAATGGCCAATATTGATGTCAGCTATAGTGCTGACCTATTCAAAGTGGACATTTGCACTTTTTAGACAATCAAGGGACAAAAAAAATAAGAGGATATTAGCAGCATGGATATATGTATGGATGCTTGGCAGACCATGGTTGTGCAGAGTCTCAAATAATAATGTCATACATTATCCATCCAGGAGTGTTCATTAGCTCCTCCTTGTGTGCAATGCGGGGTGGAGGGAGACAAAAATGAGCTCAGAGACCCTCCATCATTCTGCTGGAGCAAGAGTGATTGTAGCTGTTTGAAATACAGAGTTAATCCTGAAAGTTCACAGCAGCCCATACCTTCCCTGTGCATCCTAATCATAAAATCTGCCATGCTATGTATGGTATTTACCTTTTGTCTTCTTCTGGTATCCTGTTAGCAAAAGCGCAGGAACCAGAGCAAAGGTAGAAGGAAAGAAATAAAGAACCCAGGCAGTTCGCTGTGAAGATGGATGGACTCGAGGAGTCCATAAATAGCCTAAAGTGAATTCCAATCCCCTGTTTATTGGCTCGTCCTATCCCTTCAAGATGGACCGAGGGCAGGAGGGCTGTGGTGCATGCAAGAAATTGCTGATGAGATTCTGTGGGGCAGAGCTGACCTCCCAGCCACTTGGGAAGGGTCACTGAGGCTGGCTAGTTGGCTCATTTCAAAGTGTCTCTGCGTAGAGTGACATCTGTTCACCTCAGAATTGAGGCACGTGGACAAGTTGGAATTTTAGGTCCCCTTTCTCCAAGATGGGAATGCTTAAGTCTCAGGCATTCCCTCATCTGTGGCCGGAAAGTGGTGACAAGTTAAAGGCAAGTGGATGAGCTGAGAGCATTGTCTTAGGTGTTTCCGGAAGACGCAAGGCCCGTCTTCTCTGACTTTAGAATCAGCCAATAAGGATTTGAATTTTGGTTCTGCTTCTCACTGGCTGGTTCACCCTGAGTGAGTTACTTATGCACTCTGAATCCACCCCAGGCCCTCAGCTGTAACACAGGAATGCCGTCTCTGTCCTAGGACTCCTGTGTAGTGCTTAGAAGTGAAAATTTCTTTAAAGTTGTATGTGACAGATTGAGTTAAGAGGGAGTGAGGAAAAAGATTCAGTGCCCTTGGCCCAATGGCGGCACACAGTAGGTCCTCAAAAAAGTAAAACCAGGTCATCCTTAGTTACCTTTGTCTGATTTGAGTTAGAAAGAAACAGCACATTGAATAGTGTTGGGGGTGGGTCTTAAACAACCAGGGGTATTGATCATTGCTGCGATGGTTACTCCGGTCAGCTCACGGCCGGTCTAGGAAGGAGCAGCGCTTGACTGGAAAATGTTTCCCAAGGCACAGTTTGATTTTAAAGTCTGCATTGACATCATCGTCCGTGCTGCTTAATTGCATACTTTGTTGACATTAACAGAATTTTTGCTTATATCTAGTCAGCAGAAATTGGAAGGAAATAGGCCTTTTAAGCCAATACAATTACCTTTTTGACCTATGGAAAGTTTGATCTGGCCAGTTTGGAGAGAAGGCGCTCCCGAGCCAAGGTTTTCTTAGGTGACTGATGGGGTGGGGGTGGGGGCGGGCAAGAGTGAGAGTCACAGATACTCAATTACTGCTCATGGCTCAGGCCTGCTCAGGTACATGTGTAAGTGCAAAAGAACTTCCCATAGGGAGACGTAAATGCTTTAAGATTTTCCAATCTCTGTCCTTCCTTAAATATCAAGTAGGCCATATAGAAAAAAGAGCCAAGTTTCCCTGCTCTTTAGCACAGGGTTATTTGAATTGAGTCTCCCTTTATTGATTTTGTTTAAAGGAGCCAAATGCAGTCATCCTAAAAGAAGTTTAGGCCCTGTTGATAATTTGTTATTTTCCATTCCAAAGATACATGAATTCATGTTTCTTGATTCTCAGGCCGAATGAATGCATTTAGGTCTCCAAATTTAGGTCTTCTATCCCAAACACACATGCGCTGGTCCATTCCTTTGTTTTATAAAAGCACACACACAAATACACAAAAGCAAAAGAGTCTATGCTGTGTGCCCGTGTGTGACGTCATCAAAGTCGACTTTGATTAAGGCTCATTTCTGCTGGAAAACAGGTATTTGAAGGTCTAGGCATCTTTCAGTTCCAGCTCGGGGTGTGCAGAGCAGATCAGCAGCTTTCGTGGTGAACATTTCTGTGGCTGCTTAA